AGAACAAATTTTATAAGATGTGGAAAGCATTTAGAACAATGCCAATTGCACAATGAATTCTCAATAAATTTTACCCATTTTGTTTATATTTTCAGCTTTCCTTAAATGGATGGCATTCTCATCTGCCCAGTTATACAAATCTTTGACTATTCCTTGTGCCTTGTACCCGTAGCCAATCCGTTACTATGTTTTGTTAATTTTATCTTCTAAATATTCAATTAATCTACTTTCCTCCATCTTCACTACAGAGAACAAATTTTCTCTGGGAAATAAGGTATATTTCCCAGCCTCTCAGAGAGGGAAGACTGGTTAAAAATCTTTACCATGGTGGGGCTGGCCCCGTGGCCGAGTGGTTAAGTTCGTGGGCTCCATTGCAGGAGGCCCAGTGTTTCGTTGGTTTGAATCCTGGGCACGGACATGGCGCTGCTCATCAAGCCACGCTGAGGCAGCGTCCCACATGCCACAACTAGAAGGACCCACAACGAAGAATATACGACTATGTACCGGGGGGCTTTGGGGAGAAAAAGGAAAAAAATAAAATCTTTAAAAAAAAAAATCTTTACAATGGACTTAGATTGGCACCATTTACTGCAATAGCCTCCTAAGTCATCTAGCTTTGCCCTCCCTTCCCTGTCCCCCATGGGTTCTCCACACCTTAGGAAGAGTGGATTTTTCCGCTCTCTGTGTGCTTCTGGTGTGCCATATTGTCTCTGCCTTCAGGGTTGCTGCCCACCTGGCCAGGAGGTAGTCAACACCCAGTAAGAAGATGTCTTAGGTGCTGTACAAGCTCTAGATTTCTCTATCCCTTCCTTCCTTCTCCCCTCTCTTCCCTCCCTCCCTGCCTTCCCTCCCTCCCTTCTTTCCTTCCCTCCTTCCTCCCTCCCTTTCTTCCTTTCTTCTTCCCTTCTCCTTCCTGGAGGAATTGCTTGAGTTGTTTAAGGTGAGTTTTCTCCCTCTTGCCCATCATTTAGCTGTTTATTTTTTCCTGTATTTTTTTATATGTAAGCCAGAGTTACATGATATTAAGAGATACTTAGGAATTAAGTGGATTTAATTCTTCAGGCTTTTTAAAAACACTACTAGTATTCCAATTCTTTAATACCAAAATAATTTTTCACCTCCACTCACCCCCAAACCCTGGGTAAAAGTTGCATGTGTGGGCACCTCAATCCTCCACACATGAACACTTCCACTTATCGATTCATTTAATTCTACTCCTGAAGTGAAATAGGAAGGCATTACAATTTGGGTAAATAATGATTGCATTGTTCCTTTCTCATATAATTTACTGAGGCTTGGCACATCTTAGAGAAAATCACAAAGATCAGAATTGGACAGAAGTGAAGTGCAGCTGTTACACTTCCACGTACAGGCAACTTCCAAATAACAGTCAAAAATAGTTTTCCAACAGTGCCCTGTGATCTCGCCTGCAATTTTTCTCATTGCCCTCGATGTAATTCAGTGGAGGTAGGAGGCTTAAACCCAAAAGACTGCCTTTTAAAACACCTTAGTTAAAACTATTTTTAAGGTACAGAAAATAGCCTGAAGCTTGGTATACACAAATACATATTTGATTTTCTAAATTCTGTAATTATTATTCCATGCTGTATCAGTTTCACATATCTCCTGGGATCCAGCTGACAAAGAAGCTGTTGATTTTTGAAGCATTGATAATTTCATGTAAAATCTTAAATCTGACGTGAAATATTTTCTCTTGTCTTACTGATTATCTTTACATCAATACTAACCATGGTAAAATACAGAGATATAATTCAGTTTGTTTGTGACTGTGCCAATAGCTTTCTATATATACAAATGGACACACCTAAATTCAGTTTATTTTAAACAGTCTAATTTAGCTAAACTGCAAAATGGATTGAATTATTCTAATGTTTATGGGTGTGTAGGCCTTAGGAGGTGGGGAGAAATAATGATCTCAGTGATTATTATGGATTGCGTGGTTGACACAAATAAAATACAGTTGCCTTAATTTTACAAGCGTTAACTGAGAGCCAAATGGGTCCCAGTTATTATAGTAGGCTCTGGGATTAAACAAATGAAATTTCTTTGTCCCGCTCTGAACACTCACTCTCTTAAAGAGACATGCATGCAAATAAAGAGAACCCAATATGATGGCTGCTAGAACAAACGTATGTACGAAATAATGAGAAATAGGAAAAGGGTTACCTAATCTTACCTCATTCGGGGCTTTTAAATTTTCCTATGTTTTCACTTTTATAAAAAATACTTCAGTAACATATTTGCTATAAAAACCCTCCTCTACATTTCAGCTTATTTCTTTAAAATACATTCCTGAAAATGGAATTACTAAGATAAAAGGCATGAAACTTTTTAAGTTCCTTGATTGAGATGGCAAATTGCTTTTTTGACAGGATGTTCAATTTCGACTTTCCCTAGCAATTCTGAGAGTGCCCATTTTGCTATACTACCATCAGGGTAGTAAACTATTCTCTTTAAAATTAATCTCTTGTTTCCTTTCAGTGGAGACAACCACTGAAACACATTTCTTGTACTTCTTTCCAGAGATACACTATATGTATTTATGATATTTTTTGACTTATGGAAATATATTTAGTTTTATAAAGACAAACTCATATATAGTCAAATCTACCAATATTTTTCATGATTTTTTTTCTTGTGGCTTTCAAGATATCCCAGTTTTTCTTTTCCTCTGTCCTTTATCATTGATTGACTGGCTAATGGCATCATTTTGGCCAAAGAAGAACCACATTGACCTTGAAGATTGGCAGAAGAAAACTTTGAGAGTGTTTGCATTTGCCCAATCCCTTTCACTCTCCTCAGGAGAGCCTGAGGGATGACCCATGCATAATGGAAGCCTTGGGATTTCCAAACAAAGTAGAAACAATCAGCTTGATTTCCTCAGAGGGAAGGGCATCGGAAACAATGTCTATCTACCGCTGAGAGGTTTGGAAAGTCACGGCGAGTCTCCCCACTGCCATTAGAGAATATAGACTTCCTAGAAAAGAAAGTGCGTCTATAAGGGGGAGGGAAGTGCAGAAATCAGAATGAAGCAAACTGGTGGAAGAGGTTAGGTAAGACTAGACAACTCTAAAGTTTCAGGGTTCTTTCTCTGAACGGTTTTCCTTAACAGCCCCTGCTTAGCAAAGAATGCAAGCTCTTTCAAATGCTCTCCTTATACTAAATTCCACAGTGACCTAATTTTCTCTTATAGACAGGATTGCATCCATAGAAACCGGCCAAACTGGAGGGCAGATGTTTTCTCTTTGTTCGTTCTTCTTAAAACATCCTTTTAAGTTATTTTGACATTCAGCTACTTAAAAGTAGAATCCCAAACAAAATAATTTAATGCCAGATCTACATGATGTCAGGATCTGGATAAAACGAATATAAAAGTTATCACCCAAATGTGCTATAAAACAGCATAATGATGTATTACAGAAGGTGTTAGGAAATTATTACAACTGTTCAAAAAATCCTGCCCTAAAGATCAGATTGTCTGAATTTTTAAAAAGAATCTTAGTGGAACCAGTTTATGTTTTATTAAAACTTCTCAGAAAAAATCTAAACCCTTCCCAGTGCAAACCCGGCAAAAATACTAAACGGCTTTATCTGATAAATATAAATTTAATTCAATGAAACAGAGTCTGAACCAAGGAAGAAAATTTGATAGAGGAGAGCATAATTCCACTTCTGTCGTAGAGTAATGTTGTAAGGTTTCCCGTCCTGCCTGGGGTAAACAGTATCATAATACTCACAGTATCTTATGGTTTCTTGTGATGAAAGGAAAGCAATGAATATCTTTGTGCCTCCATTTCTCTGACTTCAACATGGGGGAGATGGGCTTGATTTTTAAATTACATGCTCTTGGGTTCATCCTGTTCTCCCCTTCCTTGTAATCAAATAGGAATGGAGACCCCCTAAGTTTTCTCTCTTGTTGACAGTTGTTTTCTTTGGGCAGCTGGATGAAGGGCATAAAGGGAAAGAGAAGATTGTCCCTGTGGACCACCTACCCTGGGGTAGAAGGACTTTAATGGAGAGCAGGGAGAAAACCTGGAAAGAAAGCTACAGCCTACTGGAAGCAGCTGTTAAAGCAAATTTAGGGTGTGTGTGAGAGGAGTTCAGGCTTTTCAAAGCTGGTTATAGTCAGAAAAGAGGAAAAGGGCTGAAGGAAAACAGTCAATGGGTACTACACCACCAGTGTTTTTCCACCAGTAAGGGATAAGAAGTAGTCAAGTATTGTTGAAACAATTCTAGGCATCAGAGCAAAAGCTGAAGTCTTCTTGCTTTTAGAATGTACAGAACAAAGAAGCGTATCTTTGAAAGTTTTGATAGGAGTCACACATTTTAGGTACGATGTTATTTTCTAACTTCCTTTCCTGCTGCTCTCCCCTGACTCACTCTTCTCCAGACACAAAGCTGTTCTTAAACATGCCAAGAAAGCTCCACCATGGGGCTTTGGCACTGGGTGTCCCTTTCATGGAACATTCTTCTCCAGATAGTCTCCTGAGTAATCCTCTCAGCCTTCAAGTCTTTGCTCAGAAGTCACTTTCTCCTGGAGGCCTACTCTATTAGATGATGCAACTAGACCCCTCCTTCCACCCGGCTGACAACCCTTTCTCGACAGGCTTCCCCGTCCCTTTATGTGCTCTGCTCCTTTTTCCCACAGCACTATCATCCTCTAACATACAGTGAATATTAGTGATTTTCCATGTTTATTATTTATTGTCTGTTCCCTCCTCCACCCACCTTCCCTCCTTCCACCTTCAGATAGAATGCTAAGCTCCATGAGAGCCAGGATCTATGTTTTTTTCACAGATCTGTCCAGAAACATCAAGTGTGGTGCTTGACATTAAAAAGGTACAAAAGGTACTCAATCAGTATTTGTTAAGTGAATAAGTGAAGGCTTATGTAATCCACATGAACTGGGAAGTACATCTCAGCTAAGGAAGGCACTAGAGTGATTTTCACATACCTCTGAATTTGCTGTAGCTAGGAGATACAGAAACAGGAAGCCAAATAGATTCAGGGTTTGTTTTGTTTCCTGGGAGAAAAACTACCTAGAAACTGGTCCTTTTTACTACCCAGTTCACAGTATTTCCTGAGATTAATAATGATATCTTGCATTTGGGTGATGCTTCAAAATGTTTTCTTAAAGGTCTGTGTCAGAGATTAGCTCACTTGACTCTCTATTTTACAATAAGGAAACTAAAGCTCAGAGAGGCAAAAGCTTGCCCAATGTATCACATTCAGGAAATGGGACCTCACAGAAGGGTACCCAGGCTTTCTAATTTCGTAAGCCCTCTCATCACACAGAGAAGACGGCAGATCTACACCACTGAAAGGACAAAAGACAAAAGAATGGTGGGTATGTGTGTGTGTGGGGGGGGGATGTGGGGGGTGGGGGATGCAGAGTGTAATGTCTCCGTGTAGACCAAGATCAGATGACAAGAACAGACAGATTGTTAGAGCTGAAGGAGAACATGGCCATTTACAATGACCTACATTTATTATTCAATATTCAAAACATGTTTTAAAAGCTTCAGATGATATCTAAAGTATATTTCACAGTGTTCATGTACGCCTTAAATGCCACACAATTTAGACTTTGTCAGGGGATTTATTCTTATTTTTCCTGTTTCTTATCATGCAACTATAACTCGTTTAGAAAATAAGGTCAATGCTGAAAATTTGCCATTGTTTTTCAATAGTTCTCAGCTCTCTAGCTATGAATTCGTAACATTAGATAGCAATTTTTGCTCTTTGTTATGGTGTATTTATCAGATATTTATTTCTGGAATACACAGCTGTTAACTGCAAGACTATTCTTTTAAGTGTCAACCTTCAATCATTTAGCCACTTCATTTCTATTTTTTTCCCCTAGCAGCTGTTCTATTGATTGTCTAGAAATTGTCCCTTCTATGTTTAAAGTTAAAACAGGAAGTGCAAAATAAAAAGGTTATATGTAAAAAAAGGATTGTGAAATCATAAGAACCTAAGCCCTGTCCTCCAAGAAGCTGACATGTATACGCCCTGTAAACACACACACACATTTGGAATGCATATATACACACTTAATTAATTTTGGCCTTATTGAAACAATTCAGGAAAAATATCAAAGACATTAAGTGCATACTACTTGCTTGTTACTTTGCTAAATGCTGAAACACAGTTTCAGGAAGTGGGTATATTATTATTATCCTCATTTTACAGTTGAGGGAACTGAAGGTCAGGGAAGTTACTCTTCTAAATCTAAAGCTTATGCAGAGAGGCAAAAGACCCAGAACAGCCCACACAATATATTGGAAGACTGACACTGCTCGACTTCAAAACTTACTATAAAGTCACAGTAATCAAGACAGTGTGGTATTGGCAAAAGAATAGACAAATAGATCAATAGAACAGAATAGAGAGTTGAGAAACTGATCCCAAAAAATATAATCAACTGATCTTGGACAATGGAGCAAAGGCAATATAATGGCGAAAAGATAGTCTTTTTGACATATGGTGCTGGAGCAACTGGACTTCCACATGAAAAAAATGAATCTAGACACAGACCCTACATCCTTCACAAAATTTAACTCACAATGGACCACATACCTAAATATAAAATGCAAAACTATAAAACTCCTAGAAGATAATGTAGGAGAAAACCTAGATGACGTTGGGTATGGTGATAACTTTTTAGTTACAACAGAAATGGCATGAGCTATGAAGGAAATAATGGATAAGCTGGACTTCACCAAAATCAAAAACTTCTGCTCTGTGAAACATAATGTCAAGAGAATAAGACAGGGGCTGGCCCCATGGCTGAGTGGTTAAGTTCACGCTCTCTTCTTCAGTGGCCCAGGGTTTTGCTGATTTGGATCCTGGGCACAGACCTAGCGCCGCTCATCAAGCATGTTGAGGTGGCATCCCACATAGCAGAGCTAGAAGGACCTACAGCTAGAATATACAACTATGTACTGGGGAGCTTTGGGGAGAAGAAAAAGAAGAAGAAGAAAAAAAGATGATTGGCAACAGATGTTAGCTCAGGCCAATCTTAAAAAAAGAAAAAGGATAACAGCCCTCTAAATTAGGTATTATAAAAAAAGAGAGAGAGAATAAGACAAGCCACAGACTGGGAGAAAATATTTGCAAAAGACACATTTGATAAGAGACTGTTATCTAAAATATACAAAGAACGGGGCCTGGTCCCGTGGCTGAGTGGTTAAGTTCCTGCGCTCCGCTGCAGGCGGCCCAGTGTTTCGTTGGTTCGAATCCTGGGCGCGGACATGGCACTGCTCATCAAACCATGCTGAGGCAGTGTCCCACATGCCACAACTAGAAGGACCCACAACGAAGAATATACAACTATGTACTGGGGGCTTTGGGGAGAAAAAGGAAAAAAAAAAGAAAGAAACGTGGCCTTGTTAAAAAGGGTAAAACATATGTTTAAAAAAAATATATACAAAGAACATTTAAAACTCAACAATAAGAAAGCAACCAGATTGAGAAATGGACCAAAGAGTTTAATAGACGCCTCACCAAAGAAGATGTACAGATGGCAAATAAGCATATGAAAAGATGCTCCACGTCATGTCATCAGGGAAATGCAAATTAAAACAACAAGATACCACTACACATCTATTAGAGTGGCCAAAATCTGGAACACTGACAACACCAAATGCTGGGAAGGATGTGGAGCAACAGGAATGCTCATTTGTTGCTAGTGGGAATGGAAAATGGTACAGCCACTTTGAAAGACAGTTTGGCGGTTTCTCACAAAACTAAACATAACTCTTGCCGTACAATCCAGCAATCAGGCTCCTTGGTATTTACCCAAAGGAGATGAAAACTTAAGTCCACATGAAAACCTGCACACAGATGTTTATAGCAGCTTTATTCAAAATTGCCCAAACTTGGAAGCAAAGAAGATGTCCTTCAGTAGGTGAATGGATATATAAACAGTGGTACATCCAGACAATGGAACATTATTCAGAGTTAAAAAGAAATAAGCTATCACTCTATCAAAAGACATGGATAAACCTTAAATGCATCTTACTGAGTGAAAGAAGCCGATCGGAAAGGGCTCCATGCTATGTTATTCCAACTAGATGACATTCCAGATAAGACATAGAGACAATAAAAAATCACTGGTTGTAGGGGAGTGGAAGATAAGGAGGGATAAATAAGCAGAGCAAAGAGGATTTTTAGGGCAGTGAAACAATTCCGTATTATACTATAATGATTGATACATGCCATTATATGTTTGTCCAAACCCATAGAATGTACAACACCCACAGCAAACCACATTGTAAACTACGGACTTTGAGTGATAACGGTGTGTCAATGTAGGTTCATCCATTGTAACAAATGCACCACTCTGGTGGAGGATATTGATATTGTGGGAGGCTATGCATGTGTGGGGGCAGGGATATATGGAAAATCTGTTCCTTCCTCTCAATTTTGCTGTGAACCTAAAACTGCACTAAAAACATAAAGTCTTAATAAATTAAAAAAAGAGGTCTGTGATTGGGGGTCAACATAACAGTTGTGTTTGGCACTTATGAGTAAAAATGAAATGCTACCTGGGGACATTGTCTGAGCTGTCATTATACAGAAGGAGGGTAAACTAATAGTATTCCAGCCTTCTGGACCATGAGTTAGTTCAGAAACTGTGCTGAGACCTGTATATTCAGCCTCGGTATAGACACATTTGTCAGCAGGCTGACTATATTGTCCTCGGAATGATCCAAGAGAGCCCCTAGTACACACTGGTCATACCGCAGTGCATTTGTTTTGCCTCCACTTATTTGATTCAGGTTCAAGATAGATTATCTGCCTGATTTGATTTATATGTTTGTCTTTGTCATGAAATTGTTAAGTGCTCAAAGTCAGGGACCATGTCTTATTCAAGTTTGTCAATCTCTATTTGGTGAAGGAAAGAAAGAATTATTCTGCTCAAAGATAAGAAAATTCACTTGGACTTACACATCCCAATCTTAAAAGAAGTCAGGTTACCTGACTATTTACAAAAAGTGGCAGTTAACCCCCACTTCACAAGCTTGCAGATATGAAGTTGGCCACAAAGTCTCAATGTGTATACGGCCATTGTGGGATTTCATGGTGACAGGAAAATCAATCTCATGAAACATTCTCTCCACGATAGCAATGGCAACTCTATTCTCTTCCTGTTGCTTATCTGGATGTGTGTTATTGACTGTGTGGAGGTGGAAGGCTAGAAGCAGCTGTTTACATGGTGTTATACGAGAAATTCTTAAAGATTCTCTGCCCCAAATTATTTCCACTCTTTTCTATGCTTTTATGCTTGCAAATTCTACATGTTTAATACTAAGAGAGGCTCTAATTGAGTATACAATAAAAATATCAAGTGATCTGTCTAGAAACTGACAATTAACTTGTCCACGATGCCCTTCTTTTCTCCCTGCTTCCTATGCTTTCCTTTTCGAGCTGCACACCCAGTCAGGAAAGACAGACTTCCTAAATTGAAGAGAGTTCCCTAGCAATGGGAAGACCTGGGTTTCTCTGCCAAAAACTCCAAACAAACTCTTAAGATCCATTTAGGGGCACAACATAGTTAAATCCTTAATGGTGAAGACCTGCTCAACAGAGCAGATCTAAGTACAGTGACAGCCCTGGGGAGCAGTGTGCTAGCACAAAGACATCGGATGTCTTTGGAATGAAGAAAAGTGGATAGGTATGCTTCCTTCCAGTTTCCTACTCTTTGGAAACTGTAGCTATTCTATTTTCTTCTTTTAAATAATTAATTCTGGGATTTGCAGACAGATGATCTTACCCAAAGTTATTCTTTTTTAAAAAAAATTTTAAACTTTATTTTATTGAGGTAACATGGGTTTATAATACTATATAAATTTCAGGTATACATATTATATTTTGATATCTGTGTAGATTACACCATGTTCACCACCCAAAGAGTAGTTACCATCATCACCACACACATGTGCCTAGTCACCCCTTTCGCCCTTCTCCCTTCCCCTCTGATAACTACCAATCTAGTCTCTGTATCTATGTGTTTCTTTGTTGTTGTTGTTTTTATCTTCTATTTGTGAATCAAATCATACAGTATTTGATTTTCCCCATCTGACTTATTTCACTTAGCATAACACCCTCAGGGCACATCCATGTTGTCACAAACGGCAAGATTTCATTTTTTTTATAGCTGAGTATTCCATTGTGTATATATCCCACATCTTCTTTATCCATTCGTCCCTTGATGGGCACTTAGGTTGCTTCCAAGTCTTGGCTATTGTGAATAATGCAGCAATGAACATAGGGGTGGATATATCTTTACACATTCATGTTTTCTTGTTCTTTGGATAAATACCCAGTAGTGGGATAGC